GAGCGACTCTATATCCTCTTTAATGCCGTTCATTAAGGGCAGATCCCTTCCATGCTCCTCATTAGCCGTTCTGCAAACATCTTTAAACAAAAAATATGGTAAAAAATGCCACCTGCTAATGGGAGTTCGAAGAAAGAAGAAGAGTTTAGGCACTATAGTTTTTCTTAATAGAAATAAAAAGTTGCAGTACCATAGTCTGCGGTTATATTTTTCAATAAACTGAAAGCATAAATCAGAAGAAAATTGAAAAATTAATTAATGAGAGATCAAAATCACAGATCAGTTGCAGTACCGTAGTCTGCGGACCTATCGAGAGCCGGGAAAAGAAACCTTTCCTCCATCTGGGCGTGTTCAAGCATTATCTCCACCAACTCCCCGTAAAACCTCGCCATCCGCCGCCCGTCTGCCGCCTTCCCCCTCCACCCATCGCCAGCTTCCTCTGTCATTTTCTCCGCCCACCGCGCCATACCCTCCACGTGCTGCAGAATGCTCCGATGTTGAACTAACATCATCTCCACCGCCATTCCCCTCCCATCCGTTTCCGTCGCCGCCCCCGCAGCAGGCGGCCCTCCGAACCTCTTATCGATATACCGAAGCAGGGATTCCTCCGATCCGGTCACCGTTTCTGATCCGCATCGGATGAAAGGTTCTCCATCTCTGGATTCAATAAAGTCGACGTCTAGGAGTTTATAGAGAAGCGCAACGCGGATACGCCATGCGATCGGGGAGGTTTCCGATCCGTGGAGTTGGACGGCCGGCGGGGAGGGATCCGCTGGGGGTCTAGAAGAGCGAGTTCGGACCTTGGGCTTCCGCGAGCAGTTGCCCATTGGATGATTGGAGAGTGGAGTCTCGAGGGATATGCTTTAAATTTTAAAGATGTTGGGAGAGGGCAAGGGCGGCGTCAGCGGAGGAGATAGCTCATAACTCCACCGCTGCGTTAACATCCGTGAAGGTGGGTGATTTTCCCGCTCGTAACCCGGCACGTGCGAGAGGCGTATCGGGTTAATATGGCGGGTTTTTTAATTTAGCCGTCTAACGCGTCGTTGACGGTGATCCTCCGATGTCGTGGAGTCGCTTGGTTCGGTAAATTGAAATTTGCATTTTGGAACCTCCTTTGTTGTGGTTGTATTAGTGAAATGTCAGCACGAATCTTAAAAGATTGAACTGTTGAAATAGA